GCCGCCGCGACGGCGCCTCTGTCCGCGGGAGTCGGGGAGCGGCGCGCAGCCCTGCGCCCCCGGCCTCCTGCGCCCCTTCCTGGAGGGCACACGTGTCACCCGAGGGTCTCCCCTCCGCGCGTGAGTCCCGAGGGAGTGTGTTCTTCAGCCCTGCAGCCGCAGCTGGACCTGTTCTGTGGGAGAGAGAACTCGCGCCCTCGAGATGGGGCTTCGTTTTCAGGGAAGCCTGAAACCCGTGTGCTTCAATCCGCGTTGCCCGCGTTCGGCACAGGGCCGTAGACCTCAGTAGCTGACGTACTGCCAAAGGGAGCGCCTTGCTAGGATGTTTACAAATGACAGCCCGATACCACGTGGACTGCAAGTTGTATTTACAGTTTCTTCGTGAATAAGTCAAGTTTGCACAGTGTCATAAACTTGCTGGCATATGAAAGACAAAATTCCTTTGTACTTACACTGAGTTCGTTAATAATGTTGGTCCTGAGGCCTCTAGTGTGCCACACATACAAATACTTCTGCTTTTATTGGGGAATCCGTCTTGTTAAACAGAAGTCTTAAGTGCTTAGTGCTAAATCAGTCATGTATCGGGTGAAGTAAGATCACCCACCGTCAAAGAGGTCGCGCCCTAGCGAAGAAGACAAACCTATAACCATAGTTTTGAAGGCTGTGTCAGAGTATATGTCTTTAGCCGGACCGTAGGTACATAGTTGTACTTTTTAGTAAATATCTCACCTTTCGAAAGTGGCATTATGAAAGTGAACGTTTATACACCTTTTCAAGGTGATAGTAGCACAGGCAGGGGTGTAACTGCCAGCAGACAAAGTGATTTAGCTAAGTGACTTGGATCTACCCAGTGGTCATTCTAAAGAAGACAAGGTCATTAGGTTTGGAATAGTAAAAACTGCTTCACAGCTTTGTGGAGGAACGAGAGAAACCCTGTTGAAGTGCTTGGTAAGGTGCTAAGTGCTAGGTGAAAGGTTAGGCCCCTGCCCTGTCTGACCTGGCTCTTGCTCTCCCTGAGCTGCCCCCCTCCACTGTCCTGCTGGCTGTGCTGGCCTTTTCATTCTCTAAACTGGTCTGGGGACCTGGTGTTTCTTCTCCTGCGGTGCTGTTTCCTTTGGCCTCACTCTGTCCCCATTAAACTTCACCATTCTTCCGAGTTGTCCTCCCCACCGTTCATTCTCTATCCCATCACCAAAATTTTAAAAGAAACAAAAGAATTAAAAAAACCCCAAAAACCCAAATCAGCACCAACCCGTGGATTTTGTGTTCTTGTACTACTGAAACACTACGCAATCCTGTTGTACAATTTTGTCTCTCTTAGAATGACAGGGAAGAAGCTTGTTTTGTTCACATCACACCACAGGTGCCTGACATACGGGAGGAACTGAGTGAATTGTTCATAGAATTCATAGTAAACACTAGCAAGTTGTCAGAAGAAGGTTACAAGTCTGAATCAGTTTTCTAGTTTTAGTTTTGAAATATTTCTTCGGTCACTTAGGTGAACTTAGATAACTAATCGACTAGATTGCTTATTTGTAAAATATTTAGACATTCCTAGAATCAAAATTCTATTTTAAGAGTATTCTAGATTCTCCTAGAATCATCTTCTAGTTTAGGGTGAAGAGGGCACAGGAGTACCTAGCTGGTGCTGCATTTAGGTTTGGGAGGGGCATTGTCAAAGCTGTGTCCTGAAGGATTCCATTAAATAAGGTCAGGAATTGGTTATCTGAAAGAGTGCTATAATTCTTGGGATGGGAAAATTCATCACCTATTTACAAGAGTCCTATCTAGTAAGTCTGACACTCTACCCTGACAGGTTCTACAGAAGAAGTAAAATATATGTTTGTTTATTCAGCCAATTGAAAGCATCTGTCAGGTAGAAGAGAATAATCAAGTTTTTTGAGGATACGTATTTAGGCAGGATATGGGTAGGATGCCTAGCACAATACCTGACATAATAGGTGCTAACTTTTTTTAATTAACATAATGTTTGGGAGAATTTCGTTTTTGCTCACTGGCCTGCTTATTCTTTTTAGTTCTTCCAGCAACCACAACTTGCTTACTTAAAGATGTCCTAACTCTCAGGGAAACCTAAAGCCAATGACAGTGGTTGTGTTTTGTACATCTTGTTAATTCATTAGTGTAGGTTACTCCCTCTAGGAAAAGTTCTTTCCTTGGTTTCTTAATAGCATTGTTTCAGGTTCTTGTCTTTGCTGAGTTCTCTACATCCATTTGCTCTTTACAGTTTTGTATAATTGTTTTCTATGATTTCTTTATCTCTCTTTTTAATATATTATCAGTGATTATTAAACTTGAAAGTAGTAGTTTTCTGACTTACGCAGGCATAAGTGTTATGTGGTCTGTGAAATGATGTGCAAACTTGATTGCATTTTCAAAGTACCTGTGTTGGAGAAGATGATTCACATATCTCATCAGCTTCAAAGAAGTCTAAAAACAGGTTAAGAATCTCTTTAATTTTATCCACATCCAGGTTTAAATACTGGCCTGTATACTAAACAGCACACTAGTTAAACATACAGTTGTGTACTTCGCACTAGATACTATTACAGTTCTTGAGGATACAGTGTTGAACAAGACAGCCATGGTCCCATATGTATTTCATGGAACAGACCCTAAGGTTTCGGTTCCAAATGGAAGATCCTTATTTACAGTTTTCGGCAGGACACACGTCCAGGATGTTCCACAGAAAAACTCCAAACTTAACTCTTCATTGTCCTTCTGCCTGCTGCATCCGACACACCACGGGTACTACTTGTTCCTCTTACACCCGAGACCTGCAGTGGCAGACCTTTTAGAGCTTTCGAAGATACAAACGCCCACTGCAGCACACGCGCTGAAGGCTCACTGCCACTGTGCTAGACAGATCAGTGGCATCCTTTATCTCTCCCCGCTCACAAGACATCTCCTGCTTACCCTGTAAGATACAGACCTGTTCTTATAAATTATGCTTAAAAATGTACAGCTGTAATACCTTGGTTCATGAATGCATCTGTTTGCAAGCAATTCAGTTTACAAACAAATTCATTGGACAAAATATTGCTTTTGTTCGCAAATTCCACATCAGGTGACAAGCACAACCGTGGCCATCTTCCCCGCACAAACACATCTTCCCCAAAAGTGTAAAACAAATTAAGTTCATAGACCGAGGCACCACTGTATTCGCTTTCCTAAAACAGTGTATATCCATAATCCACAGTAGGAAATATATGTTTTACAAATTAACTCATACTCAAGTATTCATACATGTACATGACTATTGTAGTGTGTGGTAAGTTAAAACCAGAGTTTTACTTTAAAAGCGTTAGTATGAACAGTGCATTTTATTTTACTTACTCGGTTTTGTTTTTCCCCCAACTGCTGGAAGAAATACACTAAATTCATTTCTGCTAATGGGCTGCAATATATAGTTCAAAAAACACTTGTGCTGGAGTTGTCTGTACATTAAAGTAATACTTTTCCAAATTAAGTGGCCTTTTCTGGAATGACTGTTTTCAGCACCCTTCAACCAATCTAACTAGAAAAGTCCGTGGGTCTGTGAGTCATTTATAGTGTGTTATCCCACAGGTCACGGGAGTGTGTTGGTTGAGGTGAGTGACGCAAGGTGGTACTTCAGCACACACAGGACAGTGAGGTGGAGAGCTGTAGGCGCAGAGGAAGCAAGGTGTTTGGGCTGAAGGGGTCAGCCGAGTGGGTGGTAGCTTGCAACCCCACAGCTGGCCCTCACAGTGAGCCCTGGTCCCTGGGGAGGAATACCCACAATGCCCAGCCACGGCTTGCCCTTGGAACTTCAGGGCGTCGCAGAGCCCACACAGCTGCAGGAAGGGGCACAGGCCGGCACCGAGCAACCCCCTCACAGGTGTAACAAAGTGGATGTAGCTTTGAGAGGTACGCCTTTATGGGGGATTTAGGGTGAAATGAAAAATTTTAAACTTTGAGAAAGAAGTACCAGAAAAGCTTTTCTCTCTAGCCAGGGGCTGAAACAGTTATCAGTTATTTTCCTTGAAAGTAATTCAGATTTTTGTAGCAGCTTACGTTTTGTGAAGTGCCGTTCATAAATTATCTAAGAGGAGGAGACCTGGCGTTGGGGTCCCCACGGAGGAGGGAAATGTGAAGCTGGGTGAAAGAGAAGGGAAGGCGGAATGGCAAGGCATGGCCCTGACAGTCACCAAGACTGGCTCCAGCACGAAGCGGAAGCCCTGCCTGTTGGGCCGGCCGCACTGAGAGTGTGGCCGGACTTCGCTTCTGTCTGACTGGAGCCCAGTCGGCCTGCGCGGAGCCCATGCTCCTAGCGGAGGTGCTGCCCGGGTGCCCGCACTCCTGCCCTTTCTTGCGCATTGTGCCCTGGTATGGAAATACCTGTTTCATGGGAAGGACTGGCTGGTGGTTATCCATGGCTCTGTGTGCCGTGAGGTTTGTCCCTACTCTTCCTCTGCCATCGTACACACAGGCAGCTGCAGATGTCCCTGTGTGAGTAGGGACGGGTGAGTTCTGATACAGCAGGCGGCTGCAGGATTTGTTCTGGGTGCTGTGATTTCTTGACCCATGTTTAAATCCCCTGGTCTAAAAAGAGCAAATCCAGAAAGGGTGGAATCAGAACAAGGTGAGTAGCGTTTGCTAGCGTAGAATGTACCACTGACTTAGGGAGACCCTTCAGCACTTCTTGATTCGGAAACCCAAAAGGATTAACAGTGTGCATGAAAACGGTAAAATATTAATAGCAGCTAAATTTTTTCTGCATTCATGTGCCAGCTACTGTCTTCAACACATCACTAACTCGTAGTGCTCACCATAATAACCAGATGGTCCAGATGTTACTACTTTCATCTTGTGTGTGTGTGCATGCCCCTATGGCCCTGGGGATTAAACCCAGGGCCTTTGCACAGAGCTATGTCCCAGCCGTTGTAAAATTATTTAGAGACACAGCGACACAGCCACCCTGAGTCACTTAGATGCCCAGGAACTTACTATGAGTTAGAACTTACTATGCTCCTGCCTCAGCCTCCCAGAGTGCTGGGATTAAAGGTGCGCACCACTGTGTGTGAGGCATGACAGTGCAAAGTGATTCACATAGCTGACATCACGCAGCTGGAAAGTAGCAGAGCCGGCACTTGAGCTGGCACAGTTTGAGGGCAGCCCTTCTCCTAAGCACAACACACTACAGCTGCTTTCTGGGGTGAAGAGAAGACTGGAGGGAGAAACAGCTGTGAAACATGGTAGAACTCTTGGGCCCTTTGGGTGATTTTGCAGGTTAAAGTTCTTCTGTCACTCACAAGGGGTGGTTGCCTTTCATTTGTTTCTAGCCCACGCCATAGAAATAAGGCACGAGCACGTTTGAGGGCCTGGGTGAGACACATCGGCGGTGTCCGCAGGTGAAAGGGAGCAGCTTGGATTTAGGATTTGCCTATGATACGCCTTGCTGTGAACAAGTAGGAGAGATGGACAGGAAACTCCATGTTTGACCTGGCTGTTTTTCTGTTGCTTGTTTTTATGTGGAACTAGCCTTCCTGAAATTGTACAGTAGGTGTGGCATTTGGTAGTGTTTTGAGCGCAGAGAGCTTGCTTTTCGGTGGTTCTTGGGTAGCATCTTACAGCCTGAGACCCCTTGGCCTGGGCTGCTGGGCTTGAGAACTCACCCCAGCGTGGACCCTTTCTCCGGAAGGGTCTGGAGCGCTCAGCTGTGGGAATTCAGAGGCTGCTCCGGGCCAGCGGCCTGATTCGGGCCTCCTTGTGCTCTCCGTGGGCCAGGTGCCGGTTACCACAGCGTCCCCTGCTGCGAAGGTGTCCCAGGCCGTTTGCTGCTGCCTTAGCCTTTTTCGCGTGATGCTGCGCTGTGCACGGCTCGTGGCTGGGACTGCTGTCCTAGCTGCCCTGTCCTTTCTGTCTTTCCCGTCTGTTTCTCTAAGTAGCTCACCCATGATCTTTTGTACCGAATTTCTTCTGTTATCTGTCTCTCTCGCCTTTGCTTGATTCCTGTGTTTCACTTAGACTTCAGTAGCGCGGAGGGGTGACGTGGTCGAGGCCCCGCTGTGCAGGTTACTCGGGAGCTGCTGCTCGCCTCTGCAGCGGCTCATAGAGCTGCCTGGGCGGCAGTTACTGGAGTCTGTCCTGTGGGGCAGTGAGACCAGGTGGATCCCAGTTTGGCCCGAAGCAGGAGGGTAGAAAGGGTGGACAGAGGCATCTCAGGAACGCCAGGGGCAGGGCTGGTGCTGGGGTGTCGGAGTCCACTCGGGCCTTTTTCTCTGCAGCACAGCCGTGGCTGTGGGGCGAGCAGGGCAGACAGGACAGAAGCTGGCTGTGCCCTGGCGGGCGGAGTCCTCGCGCAGGTAACCCGGGCACCCCAGCTGCGCGTGCCGGAGCTGCAGGCCTCCTGCCCTCTGTTCACAGGTGTGGAAGATTAGACACGGGTTCAGTAGGTCGTTTGTGCTCAGGTAAAAGTTTAGATTCAAACCAGATCTACCAAGGCCTCCTCTTTTTATCACTGTTGCATGCTCCGTGCTGGTTGCTTTTCATTTGGCTTTTACTCCTTTCCAGTTCATTTTGTGGGTTTTTGTTTGCCCCACAATTTTTCTAGCATATAGCTTTAATCATGTTACTTTTCTTTTGCTCCAAAATTTTTATTCTCCTGCATCTTTAAAAACAAATTTAAGATTCATTATTATGAAACAAAAGGCATCTAAGAAACTTACTTTTCTCATTTCCTATCTTCTCAGTTTTGGTCCCACTATATTTCTTAAATTTTAAGTTACCAAGAGTTCTTTCTGGTGGAGTAACTTACTTTCTTACTGGCTTTTCTGAATGCCCCCCTTTAAGATTTAGTTCAGGGCTCTGTGGCCGATATCCAGGGTTCCCCAGAAGAAAGAACTGAATGTGAACCACTTAACCACAGTTTATGTGCTGACTGTCCCAAGGGTTGCTCAGGCAAGTGTCATTTCAACCAGTCAATTCTTGTATTGAATACATTTGATAAAATGGTCATTTGTATATTCCCTGTTATTTTATCTTGTAACAGTTAATGAAAAAATATGCAATTTTTGGTCATCGTGTATTTAAATAATTGCACTGGTAAGTGGTTAATTTGTAATGAATTTTTACAAATTCTTCTGTCATTTTTGCCCCGCAGGATCCATTTTCACCTTATTATGAATTTGTTTTCTCTTGTAGGCTTCAAATTGTAGGAACTCAGTGGATATAGAAGTACTGAAAATCTCATATGCTTCTCTTACAAGTTTTCTTAGACTCCTAGGTCATTTAACTCATCTATTCAACAAATATTTAATTCAGCTAGAAGAATGAAGGTTGTACTTCAAGATTTTCAGATGGTTGAAAATAAGAAAGCATACGTGTGGGGAGTGGGACAGTTAATCCTGCCTTAACTATGTGTGTCAGTTCATGCTGCCGTAGCAATACACCATAAATTGGTTTTAAGCAACAAAGTTCTGGAGGCTAGGGAATTTAACACAGGAGTTTTAGAGGAGACCTAGACAATTCAGTCCATAACACTATGAAAGAAAAGACTAGCTTAGGTATTTTTAAGTGTTTCATTAATATTAATTATTAATTCTTTTCTTAGCCCATTTTTACTGCTAAAACACAGAACCTCAAGGTGTGCATCCTCTAATGAACGTTCATCTGGCTCATGGTCTGGAGGCCGGAGGCCAAGCTTGGGGCTGCGTCTGGTAGGGAGCTCCTGGCTGTGTTGTCCCATGCTGGAAGGCAGAGACGGGTGCAGGGAGAGGGAAGGACACTGAGCTCCTCTGTTTCCAGGAGCCCATTCTTGTCCCAACTGCTGGTGGTGGCGTTGATTCATTCGTGAGAACAAGCCTGTTACCTCTTGGAGCTAAGACCTCTCAGCATGGTCATGTTGGGCATTAAGGCTCCTAGCTCGTGCATTGTTGCAGATGGTTTCAATCCATAGCAGTGTTGTCCTTAAAACTTCCAAGATTCCCTGTTCTGTGGTAGCTCACTTATGTTGTCAGTGATCTTGACCTTATTTTACATTACTCACATTATTTCTTGTTTTTTTCAGTAGAGTAAAAAGACTTCCTTTGTTCAGTTCTTTTGCCCATCCTTTCTTTGCATAGCACTGCATCATGAAGTTTGTGATGAATCCTTTTAGTGCTGATTGCCTGAATGTGATATTCTGATTATAAAAATTTTATGTTCTTGGATCAGTGAATGAACTTCAGGAGCACTGTGAATACTTTAACATATCTAAATATAATTGTATGCATGGCTAGATTCTGAGGAAACAGTCCCCAGCTTTTATCAAACTCTAAAAATAGCCTGTATCCCCCAAACAGAAAAGAAAGTCAAGAGCTGGCACTGCCCATGGGGCACAGCGTCTGTTGCAGACCAGTCCCTGCACTGCTTCTTCAAAGGGCAGTAGTGACACTGGCTGGGGGCCGTTTGGGTCATAAAGGGTCTGCTGCTCTTGTTCAGTTGATTTTCTACTTGATCAATTTTGTCAGAATATCATGTTACAAAATGAAATTGGCTATTTATATAAATAAACTCACTGATCAGAAGTTTATGTGTTGTCATATTTTGACATTTGTCATGTATGTGTATGTGTCCACATATATAAATAACTTGCCTATTTAATTTTTTTCAGAAATGAGAGATAAAATGAGAAAATGGAGAGAAGAAAACTCTAGAAATAGCGAACAAATTGTAGAGGTTGGGGAAGAGTTAATTAATGAGTATGCTTCTAAGCTTGGAGATGATAGTAAGTTTCTGAGTTACTTTATTATATTCAGGCTGAACACTCGTCTCATTTATGGTTCTTCATTGATTTTTTTAGACCTGTCTTCATGTTTTCTCTACTGTTCAAATCATGTGTGATTTTGTCTCAGGAAATTTAATGATAACTTTATTTTGAGAATTTATAATTGCTGGTAGGGAAGCTATCAAAGGAGCGTTTTTGTTTTAAAGCTCACAAGGCTGCCAAATGTGTCGCCAAAGTGTGTTTCATCTGATCTACCAAAATGTATTTCATAAAGAAGTTTTTAGAATGGTAAAGGTGTTAATTGGCAGTTCTTACCTTATAAGACATTAGAACATTTTCTATTGCTGAGAGCTGGAAGTATGCTTTTTTCTTAATTCCAGAAATAATACAATAAATCAATTTTCAATTATAAGTAATGTTCTCTAAAATATTAGAAAGTAGAAGCTTTATTAATTTGGGGGATTTTTAATGTTAAATTCAGTGCATTCTCTTTCTCTATCTAGTTTGGATCATATATGAGCAGGTGATGATTGCAGCTCTGGACTATGGTCGGGATGACCTGGCGTTGGTAGGTGTTACATTTTATATTTCATTTGGTTTACAGAATATATGTACGTGGTTAAGAGCTGGTGCAGCCTTGTGTTAAATGCTTTCCATGATAAGTTTTGAATGTAGTTTTAACCTTAAGTGGAGAGTGGGGTACAGTTCAGTGGCAGAACACTTGCCTAACATACATGAGGCCCTGACTCAGTCCCCACCACGGGGGCAAAAACAAAACAAAACGTGAAAACCATCAAAAACAGTGGATGGGACTAATTAGTAACCTCAGGGCACAGTAAAAACCGTATAGACCATTCTTTATGGATCATTTAGGATGTAGATTGTAATGACGAGTCTTCAACTCTTTTTTTGCCTGTTATTTCTTTTAGTTTTGTCTTCAGGAGTTGAGAAGACAGTTCCCTGGCAGCCATAGAGTCAAGCGATTAACAGGCATGAGATTCGAAGCCATGGAAAGGTAACCTAATCTTGTGAACAGTGCGATTTTTATTTAAAAAATGGCAAATGCAGAGCCTCTGTTTAGGTTTTCCGACACCAGGACGCACCCGCAGTTGTCCACGGTCTTCTGTTGCCCAGCACTAAAGTAGTTGTCAGAGTGCTTTTCAGCACAGATCTTGCCGGATACTCCCAGGAAATGGGATTTGACATGAAGTCTGATCCATTTCCCATCTCTGGCCCAATGAAATTGGATCATGCTTTGGAGTAAGAACTGGCTTCAAATCCTAGTTCTAGCATTTTCTAGCTTTTGAAAATGCTCGACAAATTATTTAACTTCTTTTAAGCCTTTTTAGCTTCAATTCTTTGAAGTAAGGATTTTGCCAACTTCTTAGTGTTGTTTTGGGAAATACACACAAAGACACATTGAAAACAAAATCAATAGAAGGCGTCATCTTCGTCTAGCCTGGAGTTTTCAGCCTTCTTCAAAAACCACCCCATTTCCAAGGATGCATTTCACACGGAAAGGAAGAGGAGAAATGATGGTCTGTCCTGTTTGCAGCGTGCATAGAGTGCTGTTTGGCCTGTCCCTCCTCCTCCATGGTAATTCCCAAAACACCTGTGTGGAACTGCAGGAGAATTAAGTGTTCACCGTGGTTAGACTGTGAAGTGCGGCAGGGTTTGGCTGGGGTTGCGGCTGGAGATGCGGAGGAGTGCCAGATGGTGTAGGACCTCACATGTCCTGCTAAGGAATTTCAGAAAGGCGCGGGGAATCCATTCTAAGACTGTGAGGAAAAGTAGCAGTTGGATTTGACCGTTAGAACGTTTTAACAAGGGTGTGTAGTCAGCAGTCTCAGAAAGAAGGCAGCCTTCAAGACTGCTTTACCAGCGTTGTGAACTGTGCAAAGTGTGGCCGGTGAGGATGGATGAGAGGAATGGAGAGGTACGAAAAGGGTCACCAGTTCCATTTTTTTTTTTTTTTTTGGTTTTTCTCTGGTACCGGGAACCGAACTCACGACCTTGCGCTTGCCAGGCAGGTGCTTTTGCCGCTGAGCTAAATTCCCAGCCCCTACCAGTTCCATTTTAGAGTCAAAGGGAAATGAGCAAATATGACTTTCGGTTTTCTGTGTTGCATCTGTATTGTCATCAGCAAACAGAGCACAAACAGGATGAGGAAAGTGGAGGTTTGAGTGGAAAACCGTACCAAGTTTGAGGTACTATCATGGATATCTAGCTGCAAAACATAAGGAGGAAGTGGAGTATATATTGTAAGGACAAAGAAATGGGAACGAGAGAGTAGATCTATGCTTGTGTTGGTAGGATAGCAAGGTCACTGATCCGAGGCAGTGAGAGTGGCGTGGAGTACAAGCTGTGCATCACGAGTGGTGAACATTCACATACTGTTCGGCATTGCCAGTGATTTGAGACTTTCTCATACTCAGGAATACGGGAAGAAGTGAGTCTCCTTCTGTCCGTTTCCACTGCTCATCTCTCTGCCACTTTCTCCACTCAAGCCTAGCATACATGGGTGTGCACCCTTCCAGGCTGTAGTGTCTGAGTGTCTGCCGTGTGTGTCTAGTTCTGGTGTGTGCTCTGCCTTACTAACCTGGGTTGCTAGTTTCTGCCTTTGTATTTAGGCCCAGTTGAACCAGTATTCTTTGAGATAAGTTCTTCTGTGAGTACTTGATGTGATGGGTTTCCCTAAAAAATTCAGAACGTAGTTAGCATCTGCCGGTAAATGGAGATGGGAAGACTTGAGTAGCAATTTGAATGCAGTTAAAGCCCTGCCAGTTTAATCTTTTCCGGTCTTCACTGTTTATCACTACATTTTTAAGGTAATGAATTTTGCTTTTTATTTTTAAATAGGTACGATGATGCTATACAGCTGTATGATCGAATTTTGCAAGAAGATCCAACTAATACTGTAAGTTTGTAGATTGTTGTGGAAATGATCTGTTTAATTTAAAAGGTGGAATTAATTCCCTGAGAAAATGATGCAAAGATACATGTGGAGCTAGGCTTCATGCTCTTAGCGTCAGTAGCTCATGGTGGGCCACATTGTGTTTTATATAAATGTAAGACTCCGCAGTAAAGTTGAACTTCTAGAAGCTGTCTTACTACAAAAGAAGTTAATTGAAATTAAAAAAGAATAGACTGTGGGCTTGCGTAAAACCCCAGCATAGCTTAGTGTTTTCACAGTCCTTTGAAGGTTAAGAAATACTAACTTTACAATTTGTGTGGTTACCCTTTTGTTGACTTAATGAAAAAGAGTTAATATCCTAAGTTAAATAAGACTCGTAAAACATGTCTTTGTCCTTTCCTAAAGAACCTCTCATGTACTTACTGCACTTACAGCTCTGTATCCTGTTTCACTTTCCACTTAGCCATACAGTGTATTGAGAAAAGTGAAATTAAGTTTCTGAAAGGAGTTTTTGAGTTTCATGTATTTTTCTCATATCAGGTTTATATTACTAACTAGAAATTTTCTTGGAATTGGGAGAACATTTTACTTACATTTTAGAAGGTGGGGATATTTTTCGTGAAGTATTTCACTTCTTCAAGATGCAAGATGATATATAATTGAACGTTGTTCCATCTTCGTGGTATTTTCCATAGTTTATGAATTTTCATGACTTTTAAGTCTGGCTGAAGGAGAAATCAAAATGATTTCTTTCATGGAATAGGTGTGAGGTGGTAGTAACTAAATCCTTTAGTGGTTAGGTAAACATTTTTGAATAAGATAAATAATTGTATTTGCCAGATGTATTTTTTTGTCAGATATTATCTAATCCTTGCCGAGTCTTCTTTCTTTCTGTAAACATTGACAATCTTTTTGGTGAGCCACCAAAGTATTTGTGTTCCTGAGCAAAGATACCAGTTCTGGTCCCGATCCCTTGAGAGCACTTGGATTGGATTGAGGGAGAAGACAAAGCTTCATGAGAGTTAGAACGGATAAAGCACAGGAGAAGGTGTCATGTAAATAATGAACAGTTCAGGCCTTGCTGAAGATGCTGCTGTCGCTGTCCTCCGGTTGCCTGGAAGGAGCGTGGGGCTGTCGTACTTGTCGTGTGCCTCTGTCTGTCCAGGTATCTGGTGTAGCAGGGCAGTTGTCCTTCCAGCTCCGACAGGCTCTCCTTCCTCCTCACACGTGGATGTCGTCTTCTCAGATGGGTGTTGAGTTTCCACTCCGCTTGCTGCTGGAGTGGAAAGACGGACCCTGGAGTGGAGGTTGTACCGTCTGGCCTTTGCCTTGAGGAGTGGTGCGATGTCACTAACGTGTTGTGGGCTTGCAAAGGTTTATTCAATTCTGATTCTTTGGTGATTGCTGCAGGAGTTTTGAGCCTTGCAGGCCCTGAAGAATGAATATGGCTTAAAGGAAACAGGTTGTGGGGGAACATCAGACTCTCCGTGAACAGCTGGCATGCAGCCTTAGCTTAGGGAGAGGAGCGTGAGGGCAGAGGGGTTCCCAGAAGAAGTGGTAAGCTGGGATGCCTATTCCCTTCAGTTTTTAAAAGTTAGGTGAGATATTATTTTGAAAAATAAGGTATAATCTGTTAAAGATTACAGATAATATAAAGTGATTCGTGGTAAAAAAAAAAAGTCTTTTTACCCCTGAGCTCAGATCCTCTTTACCTAAGTAAAGAATTATTACATTTTTTTTATATTCTTTCACAGATTTTTTTTTCACACACAAGGAGTTGTGTGTGTGTTTCTGTCACCATCTAGGCAGGGAGAGCGATTAGAAATGCATGAGGTAGCATTCTCCATGCGACGGTATATCTTAGAGGCCACACAGGGCAGCTCGGCCTTTGCCTCATCCTGTGGAGAAGCCGCATGGCGTTGTGTTGAGCTGCTGGCCCTGTAGCGCTGTCCTGACGGTGTACAGCTCCGAGTCTCCTCGGTGAGCTGCCTCCTCTCAGAAGCAAGTGCTGTGCACATGGGTGTCCTCTGTGGGGTGTGTGCTTACAAGTGGAATATCTGGGTGTGGAGGCCCAGGCATTTTAAATTTTGATACATATTACCACATTTGTCTCCAAAAAGGCCTTCGGCTTGCCTGTACTACTCAGCATGGTGTAGGAGAGCACCTCTTTCCCTGTATCGTCCCACATTGTATAGTATCAGCTTTTCAATTTTAATTCATGCCAGTCTAATTGGTTAAAAATGTTATCTTGTTGTAATTTGCATTGTGAGTACTATTGAACGTTTCTAATATGCTCCAAAAGCTGTTTGCATTTCTCCTTTTGAACTGCTTCCTTTTACATCTTTTTCAAGTAAAATTCTGTGTCTCTTCTGAGGTCATGCGCTGAGCCTGGCCGACCTCTCCTCGCCCTGATTTTGTTTATGCGGAGCCTCGAAGCAGGAGGCCTGCGTCTGCCAGCACCTGGGCTGTGAACTTCTGAGCTTCTGTCTTTGTTCTTAAGGTGGAGAGGGAAACCGAGTTTCCCCATGAACTATTTTTAGAGATTCCTTGTCAGCAGCAGGGCACCTAATGTGAGGAGGTGAAGAGAAGCTGGTGGTTTGGAGCCTTTTCTGTTTCAGGCCGAAGGTTATGGGGACCTAAGACTGGGACGAGTGGCATTTGTGGGAGTAGGGGGTGCATGAAGTGTGTTTTGTCGTAATAATACATAATCAGAGCCTCGCTGTATGAGAAGAGGAGCTCTTGAGTGTGAAAATTATAGTCACTCAACTGTCAGAAACAAGTCCTGGTCGGGGCTCCCTGTGAACTTTTACTTCTTAAATAACCCTGATGCTAGTTGGTTTGTTTTATTTTCCTGCTTTTGAACGAGAGGTGCCTTTCATTTTTTGAATGCTTTTTGAAGAAAAAATCATGCCTGTTACATGGAATGATGCTTATTGTAGTCCTTTGGCGAATGCTTGTTGAACAAATGCGTTCAGAAAGAGTTGATAATCTCTGTCTCTCGCCTTGATTTCGTATCTCAGAAAGATTAGGTGTTGCCGTGAGTTAGCTTTCTGGTGTGATAAGTCCGGTGTTTGACGTCTTGGTTTGTGTGGAGGTGAGGGGCTCTGTGCCAAGAGTGAATGCTGTAAAAATGCCACTTTCTCCAGACAGAAGCTGAGCCCTGCTGCCTTCCTTTGCTGAGCACCTGTCCACTGCTTTCTGGGTTCTCAAGTCTAGAGGTGGGGGGTTTGGTCATGTTTTGCAGGGAGGCCTCAGTCCTCAGTCCTTCAGTCCTTTCTAGGGAGCGTCTTTCTGTTTTCAAACGTGTTCCATTATGTTTCAGGGAAAATTGCTGACTAGCCTAGTTTTATGTAATGTGGAAGAAACAGAGCCAGTAGATGAGCATTATGGTCTGTGAAAGCTTGAGACAAGTTACACGGGCCCTTGTTGATTGCTTCGAACTAGTGTGTATATTTCTGATGGGAAGACTCTTGACTTTCAAACTCCAGCCCGCCGCCTTTTGCAGGAAGTGCGTTATTTAAACTTAGTCGTTGAGTAGACTGTGCTGCCTTTGTCACTGTGTGTGAAGACATGCGACTTGTCTGTCTTTTCACATCTCCTGAGCAGCATTGCTTATAGAATGTTTTGCTAGGGAAGCTGTGATAGAAGGAAATTGGTCTTTGTCAGAAACGCTTTTTGTATGATCTGGGTAAGGTCCAAAAACCAAGGGAAGCCTTTGTGAACCATTTTCTGGTTTCTTAGTAATTATTGGAAACCTGGGGTTCTGTGTGGCTTTTGGGAGATGTGCTTCAGAACTGTGGGTTAGACGTTCTACGAGTAAGAAACTGGCAGAAAAGAGTTGTGCCTTGTGTGGGAGCCTAGGACTCGCTGCTCAGATGAGGCCTTGGTCGTCTGCAGAGCGAGAAGGTGGACTCACCCCTGCACTCTCCCGCATTGCATCGCATCCCTCCTTCCTGCTCACATTGTGAGGTGAAGGACCGGGGACTGGGCCTCTGGTGCCGGGGTGTGTGTGTGTGTGTTTGTGTGTGTTGCCATTTCCATGGCCGACATTGTTATTTTATGTATGACACATTGTATATCCTGTGTTGATTTTAAAATTTACACACTTTAAAGTAAACAGCAAGACTTAAGATTTTAAATGTCTTTTATAGTAATTCTGTATCAAGTACTTTCTAAGGTTTCATATTTTATAATGGAAATTTTAATTCATACATTAAAACAATATTCTGTTATGCAGAAGGCTTAAATTAAAACCACTCATAAAACATAGAACAGTTTTCATTTTTAAGATTTAAATTAACTTTTGAAAAGACTGATCCAAGCAAAAAAATTCACAGAAATTCAGATTATCCGTACAGATTACAAGAAAAAAATACAAGAAACGCAGAATGAAAGTTGGTGGATATGTCAGACTGTATTTAGTCCAGCCTCCGTCAGTGCTGGCCGCCGTCTCCCCGAACGCTGTCTGCGCGTTCTGCCCCGGCTGGGTCTGGCCGCCGGCCCGTCATAGGCTCTTCATCCTGTAGCCTCCTCAGTGCTTGCTGCTCTCCCATCTGCAGTGCTGACTGCTCAGAGCCTCCGCAAGCTCAGTCTCCCCGGCCCGCTGAGGCGCCTTCCCCTGGACCTGGGGACTCGTCAGGCCTTCTTCCCTCTGCCCTGCAGGGTCGATTGTCCCAGGGTAGCGAGCCACAGCAGTAAAAGTGGAGCTCAGTGACTGCTGGCCTCAGGCGCTGGTGTCCTGTACCTTAAATAATTTATTTAGTCGTCTTTGGTGTCTCAGGCAGGAGGGTAAATCACGTCTGTGTCACTCCCGTTTTTCTTGTGTCATTAAACTTTGCTTTAGTGGGTCTCAGAATTCTGTGACAGATTTTGGTCATGTTATTTCCATTAAAAAGCATTGATTTTAAAAACTGATGGCTTAAAACTGCTACACACACACACACACACACACACACACACACACACACACGCACACAGGTCCACAGAACATTCTCCTTTCCTTC